ATGGAAAGTGATAAAGCAAGTCACCAGGTTCAGGACTTGAACTGTGGTCAGCCATGTGGGAGTCCAACACCCTTAATCAACAAGTCATCTACCAGTCCCCTTACATTGAATTTTAAGATGCATTCTTATTTGATTGATCTTAGTATGTGAGAAAATATTATTCTAGTAAGTGATAAAATATAGTCTTAAAGTTGATAAGGAGGTTATGTATGGAAAATGAATATGTATAATGTATATATGTTTATATATATTCATGTCTATGTCTAGATATACATGTGTACATATGTTTGTATAAGTATATTACATACATTAGATAGGTATGTACACACATATATCTAAAGTTTACTCGCAGGTATAAAGTATCTGGAAATAGACGAAAGAAAATTATAACATCGGTTGCCTATAAGAGGAACATTTGATCACTTATAGATCAGGAATTGCATGAAAATTTTGCAAATTCCTGATACATTAATTTTCTTTCAAGTATTCAAAACAGTTCTATACTACATGAAATAGTTTATTTTTCTTTTGTTTTGTTTATACTTACTCTGCCAGCATATTCCTACTAATTCACTTAAAAAAATTTGGTGCCAGCAGGTGATGTGGTAGTTAAGGACGCTGAACTCCTACAGGCCGACTGCTGTTCAAGTCCCAGACCTGGCAGCTTACTTTCTCTCTCCCTCTCTCTCTCTCTCTCTCTCTCTCTCACTCACTCAAGTTCTGTCCCTCTCTGGTCAAATTAAAATAAGTAGATAAATAGAATAAGTTAAATAAAATAATTCTTTAAAAAATGTACCTTAGGTGTATTTTCAACTACATATCTTTTTCTCCCATGCCAGTATCTTCACTGCACTAGGATTGCTTATTGTAATCCTTTTATTAGTTAGAAAATTCCATAAAGATGTTGCACTGTAGAATCCACATGTCACTGCTTTGGCTACTAAGTTTAGGGATTGTGGCAAAGAAGCATATTTAGGAATATTTCTGTAAACTGAAGGCTAGAGTGAATAAAAAGTTCAAAGAGAACACTGAGGTCTAAATTACATAAAAAGCTTGTATCATCATCATGGAGTCTGACAAAGGGATCAGAGAGGGGACTGAAGTTGTGGTGTCATGCAAAAAATTCAGCAGCTTGGTAAAGCAGACTACTTGTTCCTAACACCAACATCCAATGGTAATATTTGTGAACAAGTCCCTATGTGGTGGGCTGGCTGGCTTATCAGATAACTATCTGTATGTTCAACTTTTAGAATTTTTTTTTTTCTTGAGTCCTTATAGTTATACCATGGTAACACATAGCTCTACTAGGCTGAACCACAAGAAAGTTCTAGGTTCAGGTCTGGAGGCTTCTTCGAGTATGTTGGGTAATGGCTATGCCCTGGATCTCAGGCTAGCACATGATTGGGGAGTATTCTTCGGCATCAAGAGCCTTTTTGGGTGTCACCCCTTCTCTCTCTCTCTCTCACTCTCTCTCTGTCTCTCATTCATGGAAGAAATAAAATTTTAAGAAATTTTTTTTTCTTATATTTCCTTTTAATGTCATTGTACACACATTTGTATGTTCAATTTGACCGGCATTTAAGAATACTATTTCTCCAAAGTTAATCATTTAAATTCTCAATGTTATTTCTGATTATGCTTTTCTTAAAAATAATTTTTATGGTACAAAATTATTCCTTGGTGCATTTGTCATTTGTAAATTTATATTCGAATTGTCATGTACCTTTGAATTAATCTTATGTAACTATTTCTAATTGTACAATAAATTAGATAAAGCAACTAGTTTCTGCTTTTTAATATTTCTTGTTATTATGTGTTGCCTAAGGTTATCTTGACTCTTTATAAAATTTTATTATCTTTAAAATGGTGAAATCTATATTTTCATGGGATTCATAATGTGTATATGATTTTATCTTATTATATTTTTAGATATTGTATATAATTTAGATATTCTGAATTGCATAAGCCATAGATAAATATAGTGAATTATATTCTTTCCATATATTGTTTCCATAAATTTATCTTTTTGTTAAGAAATACATTGTTCTTTCTAATACAATGTGCTACTTTTATTACATATATTTATTTGTTATTAATTGTAGCTTTACTTTTTTTTTAAAGAATTATTTTATTTAACTTATTTATTTGTTTTTATTAAACTAGAGAAGGACAGAGAGAGTGAGAGAAAGAGAGAGAGCGAGAGAAAGAGAGAGAGCGAGAGAAAGAGAGAGAGCGAGAGAAAGAGAGAGAGCGAGAGAAAGAGAGAGAGCGAGAGAAAGAGAGAGAGCGAGAGAAAGAGAGAGAGCGAGAGAAAGAGAGAGAGCGAGAGAAAGAGAGAGAGCGAGAGAAAGAGAGAGAGCGAGAGAAAGAGAGAGAGCGAGAGAAAGAGAGAGAGCGAGAGAAAGAGAGAGAGCGAGAGAAAGAGAGAGAGCGAGAGAAAGAGAGAGAGCGAGAGAAAGAGAGAGAGCGAGAGAAAGAGAGAGAGCGAGAGAAAGAGAGAGAGCGAGAGAAAGAGAGAGAGCGAGAGAAAGAGAGAGGGAAAGTGAGAAAGCAAGCCACCAGGTTTGGGACTCAAACCGTGGTCAGCCATGTGGGAGTCCAGCACTCTTAACCACCACACGACCTGCTGGACCCCCTTTTTTTAAAAAAAGAATTATTTTATTTAACTTATTTATTTGTTTTTATTAAACTAGAGAAGGACAGAGAGAGTGAGAGAACTGTAGCTTTACTTTTAAAATAATAACTCTCACTACTATTGAATTAAAGTTCTAGATTTTTTTATATTTTAGTCACATCAAGTTTTCTTTTTCTGAAAAAAGTTTGTATACATTTTGTTTACAATTTTTGCTATATTTATTTGGTTATTCGTTTTAGATAAATGATGAACATTATATGTATTTAAAGTTATTTGATTGTCTTTATCTTTTAGTATTTTTGTACTTTTCAACATTTTTATCATTTCTTTTTTTGCTTATTTTTGCTAAAATTCACTTTTACCTTATTTTATTCTTTAATATGCTTTGAATATATATATATTCTACTTGCAATGGGTAGTAAATATTAGCATAAGATATTCCCTAAGCTTTTAAACCTTGTATTTACATATGTATGTATAATCTACCAAAATATTTTAATGCCTTTAGAATAAAGCAATGCATTTTTTAAAAATTCTTTTTAAAAAGTTCATAATAGTGCATGTACATGTGAGAGAGAGAAAGATAAAGAGAGAGGTGAACATTCTCCACAGGTCATTCCATGATTCCCTTTTTCCAGACCTCTAGCACATCAGATTCTGGGCACTAGTGCATGTGCTAGTGTGTTTCAGGCTGACCAGGCTGGATTCCAACCATAGTCACCATGTGACATCCAGCTTCTTTAGAACAATGTGTTTCTATGCTAAGGAGCTAGCCCAATACATTTTTACTTTATAATTTACATACTTAAAACTTTCAACCCTTATTTTATAATTTAATGCATTGTGTTAAGTGTATACATGAGTGAAGCTATTCATCCTTTCCTGATATAAGATATTTCTGTCATCCTAGAAAAGTCCTCATGTACCAAAGGCAACCACTGTTCTTTGATTTCTGTTACCATAATTTACTTTTGTCTTTCCTTGGACCTTATAATAATGGAGTTAAACAATATCCATTATGTTCTCTCTGGTTTCTTTTGCTTGATGTATTTTTGAGATTCATCAGTGTCAATTCATGTTTTATAGCTTATTCTTTATCACTTTAATATTCTATTATGTGACTACAAAATCTATTTTTTAGATTTAATTTTTAGCGATAAACTTAGAAGTCCTTTCCATTTTCTACTTTTAAAAAAGCCTTTGGGATAGTATCTTTTGCTTGATGGCATATACTTTCACTTCTCTTGGGTAAAACTTTAGGAGTGGGGTGGCTACATTTACATTGTGGTGTCGATATATTTAATTTTATAAGAAATAGTTAAACAAATAATATATTCTTATTTTTGAGAATTTTGAAGCACTTCAAAGATTGTAATTGAAACACAGACTTCCCCTTTGTGTCCATGTTACCATTTTTCCAAAGGTAATCTGTGTCCTGTCAGTTTTTCAATCTAGAAATTTTCTATGCATCCACAAATACCTCTCAGCCTATATGACTCCTTTTTATAAACAAAGATGACAAAACTTGAATACAAATATCTGCCTCGCTATTTTTCACTTAATAGTGTATCTTGAGGGCCAAAGGTAATGTAATGGTTAACGTACTAGACTCCCAAATGACCCTTTGCAGTTTTACTCCTGGACCAAGTGGCTTGAAAATCACATAGGTTGCATGTGTGCAGGTGCCCAAAGTCCCGGGAGGAAAATTAAGTAGAAAAAATTGTGGCATGGTCAACCCCCTGAGGGCGATTTCTCATTCTCTTTCTCTTTGTCTCTCTCCAGTGAACACATGCACCTGATAACAAAAATCTGAAAAAGAAAGAAAAAAAGTTTTTAGAACTACTTTCTGTATCAGCACATGACTTTTTTTTTGTTTTTAATAGCTTCACGTTTATTTGAAAACTTTCTCGCAAGAATTAAGACAATGGAATAGCAGATTCCATTGTGCATTTAGTTAATATTTTATTATAGCTATTATTTATTTATTATTATTTTTCTTTTTTAGAGATTTTTGCTATAGAGTGTATGCACTCACCAGAGAGGTAGAAAGTGAGAAATCACCCCCTCCCCCGCCCACCACCAAGGGCAATGATAGCTGTGCTATAATCTAGTCTCCTCCATACTCATCTCAAATTTTTTGGCATGTACGCACACATACCCAGCATGAATTTCAAGCCTCCAGGTCCAGGACTCAAACCATGGTCAGCCATGTGGAGTCCAGCACCTTAACTACAGTGCCACCTCCTGGCCCTATTTATTTATTTTTTGAAAATTTTAAAAGAACTTCTCAATTTTTTTACATTGTATTGCTCATTTTAAAAAATTTATATTAAATGCTCACTGAAATTTGTTTTCTTTTTAAAAGACAATGCCATGTCATCAGGAATTGGTGCCCCTAAGGGAGCTGTTGAAATTTTTCATGAAAGTAAAATGACAAATACTGAAAGTGAGTAACTGAATGTAAATTCTATTATAAATTACATAAGCTCTATTTATACTCAGTCTGTGATGCCAATAGTACATTTTTATTAGTAAATCCTATAAGTCATCAATGGTTAATATAGTAATTATACATATTATTAAGAATTAATAGTGAAATATTCCTAATATACTGTTCATGCACAATGTTGGCTCATAAGCGTTGTCATATAATTTCAGGAATGTATAATTTTTTTAAATAAACTTTTGCCAGGAGAGGCAAGTGGTAAATAAAACCTTTCCACATCACTGGGGATATGTTTCTTAGAAGAAAACGACGAATGTTTTGGAAGTGTGAAATCCAGAATTCTAAAATCTGTGCAGTAAGAACCTACAAACATTATCTCTGAAAGTGTTTCTAACATTGCATGTGGAAAGAGGTGAAAAATATATGAGAAAATGTGTACATTTAATCTGTAGGGTGTTCATGCTTATTTATTTTAGATCATCCTGGTAGAGAAGTCTTTACCAAATATTTTTAATCCTGACTTCGGGAAATTGTTGCTCTGGAGAAAACCAGTCTGACATGATAAAGCCGAAATAAATTATCATTATGAATCTTTTATCCATTTGTGTTGAATAGAAATCTTGAATGTAATTTTAAAATCTTGGCTTAGAGTTTATCCCCTAAAATCAGTGATAGATGATATAGTTTTGGATAGATTTATAAAATATAAAATTAATGCTTTATTAACCTACTAATTTAAGACAGTGGGATATCCATGTACTATTAGAATATAAAGATATATTAGAATGAGGAATGTCACTTTGAAGAAGTGTATAATCTTACAGGCCACATAAAATGTAAATATATACACCAATTTGCACAACAATGTAATAGGGAATGGTTATATAGAGTAGAAGCAGAGATGAGACAGGCAGTACATGCCAAATGAATACCATAGAGAATAATTATCTTCAATATTTTAATAAGGCAATTAGTGTGATCTCCAAGCATTATGAGAAATGTCATTTGGTGAGGGGACATTTGAACTAAATTTTAAAGAATGCATTTATATGTGAAAAGAAAAATGAGTGAACTTGAGCAAGAAGTGTAGAAAGTGTCAAATAACAGTGAAGGAATAACACAAAATCTGGAAAGGATAGACTACTTCAAGTATAGCATGGAGAGGATTCAGAAATGTGGAGATGGCTAAAATAAAACTAGAAAGACAAATGAGGTGCAGTCCAGAAGCACTTTGAATTCCAAGCTCAAGCATTAACTTTTCAGTCTTTGATCCTGTGTATATTTAAGTAGGGATGTGACATAACTAAGTTCTTTCTTTGTAAAGTCTAAGTATGCAGAATTATTTGCCTATAGTAAGAAATATGAGAACCAATTATCTTATTATTGCACTTAAGGCTTATAATAAAAAGAACTGATCTAAGAATGATCAATAGATATTCAAGATTTTAGAGAAATAGTACAAGAGATTTATAGGGACTAGAGAAATATTACAAAGGACTGATTATTCCCTATAGAAACCTACTAGTCTCTGTATGTAGACATGGGAACTTGAATGAGAAGATGGAGGCTTCAAAGGTGATTTAACTGTTACACCCTTTCATAACAAGAAGGAATGGGAGGAAAGAAAGGAAGTTGGGTGGGATGAAGATGAGTTCAGTTTTATCGATACTAGATTTGGAAATGATATTGGTCACTTCAAAGCTATATATGGCATGCTAGCCTTGACAAAATCAAAATGTTTAAAACCGAATACACAGGGAGGAGAAAAGAGGGTAACAAAAAGTTTATTTTCGAATATCATTACTTATATCATTATTTTATTTGTTGAATAGTTCCAGAGTATCCACTCTGTGCCAGGCTCCATTCTCACGATGTATCATGCATCAGAGCCCTCTCATTTTAGAGCTTCCCCCTAGTTACTTCCTTTACCTTTTCCAGCTCTATGCCTAATGATTCAAATGTTATTCCTTTTTCTCTGTAACATTTCTGGCATTAGCATTTTACCTTCCTGATGTGAATTCAGTTCCTTATTAATGATGTATCAACTTCTGAATGGGTATGTTCTAGTTTTATGTACTTCCTGAGAGTAGTTCAAATCTCGGCTCTTTCACCTACCAACTCCGTGAATGTGGACAACATATATAACTTCTCAAGTCTTGATTTCTTCATCTATATAATCAAGACAATAATTCCATTTCATAAACTTGTTATGAGGATTCAATAAAATGCGGCATCAAAGTGCTTAGTTTAGCTTCTGCTTCACATTTCTAGGCCCTCAAAATATTAATGTTAGTCATAAAAATGTTAGTCAATGTTCATCACAGATTCACACATTTAAATATAAATGTGACAAAGGAGTGAATACTTTTATTTATAACTAAACAAATATGCTCTTATAACAGAGATTGTGTTTATAGAGAAGGTCATGAGGCTTCCCCTAAAAGTATTTAATAGACTGTAGTTTAAATGGAAATATCAAATAGATTTACCAACTCAATGGGTTGGCATTGAAACAACAGCCAACGACATTACTTCTCTGTTCCTCAAGGTCAACAGAAATGAGGACATCACACTGTTCTCTTAGAGGCATTGAGAGTATTTTGTGTCTTCCACTTAAGATTGGTGATTATAACTATAATCCAGGCTTAGAGAGTCCTTAGAGTGAAAAGGACTGCAAGTAAGCACTTTGGTGAAGTTTCATGGACAACTTTGCGGTGCTTCTACAACCTTCAGTCGATTCGGGACATGCCAGGATTAGAATCACTGAGGCACATCGGACTGAGTGGATTTTATGATGAGTACAGCTTGAATGCTATAGTGAGACCATCAATCACTCTTCGCATGAGACTCCAATTTTCAGAAATGGAAGGTAGAAAATGAGGTTATTATGAGGATGAAGGAGACCTGCTTTTATTATTTTTTTTTCAGCAAGAAAAATTCACGCTGGATTTAAATTCTTCAATGCACATGTAGTTGGATATTATTTACATTGGAAAATGTGGAATTTCTTTAAAGGGATTATTTGAAATATATTTCAAAGTACTTTTCTAGGTGATTCGAGATTCATTTAAAAATAGATTGATTAACTGGTTCTCTGACTTTTTTCTTTCTTTTTGCCTTTTTTTTAATGTTTAGTTCATGCACTATGGAATACATTAATTTTTAACTTGACTTGAAATTTTATTCTGATTTTTCAGGTTCATTTTTATTTCCTATGCTATTAAGTTATAAACAATGATTTTATTTTAGCATTTAGATATTTTGAAGGTTAATTCTATAATTTTCCAGCATATTTATCAACCCATTTATTAAAGAATTTTTTACAAATGGTAGCATTAATGAAGTAGAATTGTTTTTTGCATAGTCTGAACATCAAGGTTAACTACTCTGCATCAAACTACTAACATCTTCTGTCTGCTTTATCTTTAGCGGTGAATAAAGGCATTTATTTTAGTTACCCATGTCGACGTCATAGCTGTTCTGTAGTGAACATCCCAGCACCATGTGTGAATAAAATGATTTCACACATTGAAGATGTGGAGTCTAAAATACAGGAGCACTTGAAACGAGTAAGTAACTTACTTAATTTTTGTGGGTTCTATAGAGCCTGTAAGGTTTGTTATTTTAAAACTGCAGGGAATTATTTTGAATTTTTTACTGTAATTGGAATACATTTTAGAATCTTTGCTCAGTTGCATAATTTACTAGTCTAGACATGTTTTTGATAGTCTCACTCCAGAAGGGTAAAACGACCTTATTAAATAGATTTTTCCCCCTACCTGTTCATTCTTTATCTAGAGGCAATCATGCTAAGTAGTAATTTCCATAAGCCAACTTGACTAGTAAATAGTATTTACATCCTTTTGGGGACTCTAAACTGATTAGATGATTAGATGAGTAAATTGGTATATAAAAGGACAGTGTGTCCTTTTTAATGAGTTATTTCATTCTAAAGAAATACTCAATAAGTCTGTTGAAAGAGAATATAATGTTTCCTTGTGTTTTTCTTTTTTTAACTGTTAAAATTTACCATTATTATTCTGATGAGAGTTCGATCTTAAAATCACTGTAACTTTCATTTATTTTCAAAAGGTGACTTAGGAATGATTTTAAAAAATCTTATACGCTTTATTAAAATTAAATTTCTGAACAACTAATGCAGAACTAGAAAGTCCAAGCAGGGGGATAAGTCTGCCAGAGATGTGTTCTATTTCTTTTCCTGCTCTACTGTAATGGATGTAGACGATGTTCTGATGGGCTACTCGAAATTCTCTGTTTAGGGTGCCATTGCCTTTGAAAGGCCCTAGAAGGTAATAGTCAAGATTGCAGGCTCTAGAAGGACATATTCTGTGACTATAGGTGACAAGAGAGAAATAATGACACTGTGTTAGGACAAGTGCAGTGTATGCTATGCACTCAATATATATTGCTATTGTTAATTCTATAATATTATTTATGTCATTCTATACCAGTCTTATATTATCTCTACTGTTTCTATATTCTTCAAATCAGAATACCCTTTCAGAAAATGCCTTGTAGGTCACAAGACTCATAATGTCCTGGGCTTTTAAGGAAACAGCAAGAGAATAAATACATATTAATGTGGTATGCTGGATACTTCAAATGTGTTTTAATGAACAACAATCCACATTGTTGAAATGATGAAAATAGATTCACAGATGTTTTAGTAAACAGTTATAACAACTACTGTTTATTGTAAACCTAATATAAGTCAAATGCCATGCTTTACTATGTTATTTCTCTTAGATCTTACAAAACCAATGAGTGGTTACTGTAACACGTAACTGATAGATAAGGAACTAGCAATTTAAAACAACTCAATGGGTTAAGGTTACAGGCTGAATTGGGATTCAAACACTGTTATCAGAGCTCATGGCTCATGTTCTTTCTCCATTCCCACCTAGGACTCTGAAGAGTTGATAAACTCCTAACCACTACTAATACAGGGCCAGCTAAAGGATTGCCTTAGATAAATTAACTTTACAAAATAAGTTATTTTATAGCTGATAATCAGGAAAACTGAAAAAAAGAGACTGTCTTGGGTACATTTATTATGTACCAACTGAATAGCAGAAATGCTCTGGGTTCAGCAGGTGGCATGATGGTTAATGTGCTGGACTCCCATAAGGCTGACATTGTTGGAGTCCTGGACAGACATCATGGCTTGAAATTCACACCGAGGATGAGTGCGCATGCCCAAGATCACAGGAGGAGAACGGAGAAGTAGGGATGGCGTTTGGACCTCCCTGGTGGGTGATTTCCTACTGTCTCTTTTTGTCGGTCTCTGGTGAGCACACACACTATGGCAAAAACCTAAAAATGCTCTCTGACAACAAACACTAGGATGACTTGTTCAGTGCTGTCTTGCGCTGCCTAGCTTAGTGACACATACACACTGTAAATGTTGAATGAACAAATAAAGGAGGACATGAATCAGAATCTTTCTTTTCTACACACATCTGCAGTATCTATCCACCCAATATAGTAAGAGTTACCATTTACCAAACATTTGCTGTTTTCTAGGCATTTTAAAAATATCTATTTTCATATTTGTCCTTCTTAATAAAATTCATTATTTTCTAATATGCTTTGGAGAAGAGCAAACTGAAAATATTAATTAAGCAGTGCTCACTCTTCGAGGACTTTATAAACATTTGGAGAATTATGTCATAATTCGTTGAAGTGCCTCTTAACCAATTTCCTCCTGACTCTCTTGTGACACTTCAACTTACTTCAACTTCAAATGGCTTCTTAGAACCATCATATAAATCATCCTGACATATATTTCTACATTATGCAGAACTCTGACTTTGCAGTTTCAAAAATCAAGAGGTAACATATTCTTGATTATTAATTAGTTTAGAATCTATCTTCTCACTTAACATTCTCTTCTCCACACAATGACTATTTATCATTCAACTATTTTCTTTTGCGTTTATTTGTATTTTTTACTGACTTGAAAGAACAACTTACTACCTCTAGTAAGTTGTATGTGTGGCCAACTGGTGGCATGGTGATTAAGGTAGCTGGATCCCACATGACTGACTGCACAGTTTGAGTCCTAGACCCAGCAATTTGAAAACACACTGGGTACGTGTGTGTGTGTGTGTGTGTGTGTGTGTGTGTCTGTGTGAGTGCATGCTTAAAATTCTGGAAGGAGGAATTGAAGTTTGACCCCCTCCCAGGGGTATAATTTCTCTCTTTCTCTTTCATCAGAGAGTACACGTGCTTTATAGATAATAAGGTATTTTAAAAAGAGGAAATTATAGATTTATAGATTTTATGAACATTATCTCTATTTGTGAGTGATCTTTTTACTTTTCTAAAATATCTTTTAGTAAAATGTTCTATGTTTTAATTTACTTAAATTTATCATTTTACGTTTAAGTGTTTTATGTTTTATTTAAGAAATCTTTCCATAGCAGAATCATTTAAAATTTTTAGTTTGTATCTTTACGTTGTTTAGTTTTTCACTTGAAAGTTAATAAATGATGCAAAATTTTGTTTTTTTTCCATGTCACAATTTGAAAGATTTTTATTGCAAATCCAGTCATTTCCTAGAAATTAACTCAGTTATATTTTTTTATAGTTCATATTAATGTATGATTTTTATCTGTTTTCTTGTTCCTCCATCCTATTGGTCAGTTTCACCTCCTTATTTCAATGATTTCATTTCACTAATTTACATGCTTCATACCATGTTCTGATATATGGTATAGCAGTTCTTTTTGTTTTTCCCTTTTTCTGGGCTTCTTTGGGTATTGTTGATACATTCTTCTTTCATATACATTTTAGAACTAACTTATCACATTTATGAAAATGAAACCAATAAGATTTCAAACAGAATTTCATTCATTATTTTTTATTACGTAGATGAATGTAGTATCTTTCAGAGTTTTTTAGTTTCCTTTAAAACTATCAACACAGGAAAATTCCAGTAGGTATAAAGAACACCAAAATCTGTTTAGAAGACTGGGCTGTTTGAGAGATAATGGAGAAGATGGGCAAGCTGATGAATATAGTAATGTTCAAGTATATTTATTTATTTAGTATATATCTGCGTATATGTGTGTATGTAATTGTGTGTGCAGGTACATAGATATAGATAAGTGTAGAGACGTAGATCAGTAAGTACATATAGAGTGTCCTTCCATATGTTTCTTATCCTGTCATTTGCATTTGATTTTCTGCTAGTTACTATTCATGCATTTTTAGTAACTTTCCTTTTTTTTGGCTAATTTATAGAAATACTAATAGTAATCTTCTCAGTTGATTGCAAATATTTATATTTCTGCATGTACTATTCATTTAACATGTTTATAACTGTTCTTTCATTTAGAAATTTGTATTTAACCAGACAGCTTATTTTATAAATTCTAAAATTTTGGATGTGTGCTGCTAAGATTCTGTGCTCCACAGGTGAGCATCACATAAATACATGGCACAGTGGAATACACCTATAATCCCCAGGGAAGGCTAGGGTAATGCATCAAAATTCAATGGACATTGAGACCAGCAAATAGTATAATGGTTACGTTGCTGGACTTCCACTTAGTCAACTGCAGTTCGAGTCCTGGACCTGGCAACTTAAAACTTGCACTAGGTGCATGTGTGTGCATGCACAAAATCCCAGAGAGAAAACAGAGGAATAGGGATTGTGGCATGGCCTTCCCCTTTGGGAGGTAATTTCTCACTTTCTATCTCTCTGTGTATCTCTCTGGTAATCTCATGCACTCTATAGCAAAAAAAGTCAAAAAACAAAACAAGACAAAAACCAAAAAACTCCCTTAAAAAAAAATTCAATGGACATCATGCACTTCTGATTGTATGGGAATTTTTTTGAGAATAAGTGATGTTCAAACTGGCCCTTGATGAAGAGTTATGAATTAGAAACAAAAATATGGAAGTTGAGTAGTATTAAGAGGACTAATAAAAAGGATAGGAAAAGGAGAAGTATATGTCTGTTTAAAAAACAACAAAGAATATAATAGGACAAAACCATAGTAGGGTATATAACGTAGAGAACTGACAGTTTTAAAAGTGAGTTCAAGTTTAACATGTTTAAGCAAATGTTTTTGAGATGTTTAAAATTTGATTTTTATTGAGATCTTTTCTTTTGAACAGTTTGAAACTTCTCTTGAAGAATGGTAAGAAACATTTATGTTTCTCTTATTCATCATAATGTTAAAATTTTAGTACATGTAGACTAGCTTTATTTGAAAAAGAATAAGAAAAGTAGAAGTAGAATTTTTCACATAAAGTATTAAAATGTATTTTTAAAAATATAAGAATTAGGACATCACTGAAAGGGGCAGAATTGGGCTCTCAAGCTCTGTCCCTCCACAAAATAGCTATAAATCTGCAAAAAAAAAAAAAAAAAAAAGGTGGGGGGAATGGTCAGAAGCAACTTGTGCAGAAATCTGGGATCTAGTCAAAAATTGTCAGCAACTGCAAAAACTTAAATGAAGAAAAAAGTTACTGTGCTGCGTTAAGAGATCTCCATGGCATTTTGAATTGCGGGCTCATCATCCTGAACCTCTAGATTGGTGGTCGCACTCAGTGAAGAGAGCAGCCCATACTTGTGAAGCAGATTGTCAGTGCCAGAGGGAACAATAGAGATCTTATTCTCAAAGAATTGTGTTTGAATGTTTTGACCTGACAGCTCCCCAAAGGACTAGCACAAAGGCTTGCCTTTGTTTTGTCTGACTTGGAGTAATCCCAGGGCTTGGGGGTGGTGTCCAGATAATATTTACTGAAAATATTTGAAAGCAAACAAGGAGGGGGGGTCTTCAAAAAGTTTGTGGAAACTGCATTTTAGGAAAAGATTCTAAACAAATTTCAGGTTTTTGCACCAAAATAAACTCATCCTTTAATTCAATTTTTCCACAAAATTTTGAAACCCCCTTGTATACTTGCCAGGCCATCCTAGGGCTATAAATGATAGTTGAGGCAAATATTAGATGATTAAAATGCCTGGGAAAGAGCTTCAAAGAAGAGATATATGAGAGAATAGGATTTTTCAAAGCTCTCAATGTACTGAAGAGTCAAGAACACAGATAGGAAAAGAGATAGAAATATGGTCAGATAAAACCCTAGAGAACCCTAATGTTTGACTTCTTGCTGACTATTAAAATCCACACAGCTAGAAATTAAAGGCAGAGACAAGGATGAAAACAGCCTGATTAAGCATTGGTTTAATGAGGGTCCTAACACAGAGCCAATCTGCTGAGATATTAGGAGGTTATTTATTTATTTTTCTTTCTTTCTTTCTTTTTTTTTTTGACTTCATGTATTTAAGGTAACTCAGAGGAAACAATAGCTCACTAATAACACTAAGGGATTTCAATGGTGACAAAAGAAAAAGAATACAGAGATTATAATAAGTGTTCAGAAGAGTCATTAAACAGGGGCTGGCTCATGGTGGTTGGACCAACTCTCAGACCTGGTAGCTTACTTTCTCACTTTCCCTCTCTCTCTCTCTTACTCTGTCTCTATCTAATCACATTAAAATTAATTAATTAATTCATAAATAATTTAGAGTCACTGTACAATGACCCCCACACACACCAAAAACAAACAAACAAACCAATAAACCCAAAGGAGGAAATATAATCTGATTTCTACTTCACATTAGAATATAAAAAAGTCCAGTTTTCTATACAAACTATAAAGCATGCAAATAAATAGAGAAAATATGGCTGTTTACAACAAAAAGAAAAAAATCAATATAAAATGGCTGTGAGACAGTCTGGAATTTGGATTTGTCAAGCAGAGTTTGTAAATCGGCTGTCATAAGTATCTTCAAAGAAATAAAGAAGATCATGGACAAAGAACTAAACTAACCAGGAAAATGATGTCTCAACAAGCATGGAATATCAGAAAATAGATAATTTTAAAAAAAGCTAAGTAGAAATACTGCAAATGAAAAGTAAAGTAACCTAAATTAAAAATTTTACTAGAAGCGTTCAATCGCAGATTTGAGCAGGCAAAAGAAAGAATTAGTGACCTTGATTATGGGTCACGAGAAATTATTCAGTCTGAGAAGCAGAAAAACAAGAGAATGAAGACAAATAGTTCCCAGTAAACCTGAGAGATGAGAGACACTGTCAGACATATAAATATTCTCATAATAGGAGTTCAAGACTAAAATATGTGAGAAAAAGGAAAGAGAATATTTGAAAAAATATATTAGAAAACTTGATAAAAGACATGAAGATACATATCCACTAAACTCAGTGAACTCCAAGTAGAATAAAGTCAAAGAGATCCACACAAACATACTTTAATCAAGTAATTGAAAGCCTCGGACAAAGAGAGAATTTTGAAAAAAGGAAGAGAGAAGCAACTTGTCATGTACAAAGCATTGTCAATAAGATGAACAGTCAATTAGTTCCTCATCTGAAGCTGTAGGAAGCAGAAGATAGTGTGATGACGTATTTAAGTTGCTAGTAAGAAACAAATAAAAAAAAAACTGCCAATGATGAATTCTAAATTCCATAAAAGTACCCTTCGAAAATAAAGGAGAAATGGAGAATTATGATATAAACACACTGAGGGTGCAACACTACTCCACCTGCCCTCACACTAGACAGTAAAACAAAGCCATAATAAAAGGCATGATGGTAAAGATAAATTACACAAGTAAATATAAAAATTGGTACAATTGTATTTTTGTTTTTAACTCTTTACATTTCTGTGTGTAATGTTAAAGGGAAATGAGTAAAACCCATAATTATAAATCTATTATAATAGGCACGCAATTTTAAGTGTGTAATTTATGAAAATGACAACACAAAAGAGAAGGCTGAGCTGTAGAGGAGCAGAGCTGTTTTATACTATTTAAACTGAATAGATTTTACTTCAAACTTAATTCTTATAAAGTTAATACATTAATTAAAATCTCCAGGGTAACCACTAAAACATGTTCTTAAAATATATACAGAAAAACAAAGAAAAGGGAAACCCAAAACATAAAATGTACTAGAAAAATAAACTAATCATTAAAAAGGTACATATGAAGGAGTTGAGGAATGATAAAAATAAAAGTAAAATACAAAACAGACAACAAAATAGTAGAGATAAGCTTTTTACCAGTAATTAATTATATGAAAATAGATTAAACTCTCCCGTCATAAGGCAGTAGAATGGATACAAATACAAGATCCAGCCATGTCCTCTTTCTAAAAGATTCAACTGAGATCCAAAGACACAAGTGCGTTGAAAATGAAAAGATGAGGGAACCAGCAGTTAGCGTAATGGCTATGTCACTGGACTCCCATGTAGTCGACCGCGGTTCGCGTCCCGGACCCGGTGGCTTAAAACTCATGCTGGGCGCATGTGCGTGCGTGCCCAAGATCCCGAGAGGAGAATGGAGGAGAAGGGATTGCGGTGTGACCATCCCCCATGGGGGGTGATTTCTCGCTTTCTATCTCTATGTCTCTCTCTGTCTGTCAGGCAAGTGCACGCGCCCTATAGTGAAAATCTCCACCCCCCCCAAAAAAAGATGAAAAAGCATATTTCATTCAAAGAGTAATCATAACAGAGCTGGGTGACTATACGAATATAACAGAAAATAGACTTTAGATCAAAACCTGTTCCAAGCAACAAAATATGACTATATATTGATAGGAGTATCACTCCCTCAAAAAGATATAAAAAGCTATATATACACCAGGGCTAGTCCATGACATGGTGATTAAGGTGGATAGTTCTTACGTGACTAATTATGTGTTTTGAATCCTGGACCTGGTGACCTGAGAAACACACTGCGCACATTTGTGTCTATGCCCAGAATTCTAAAAGAAGAAAAAAAGGAGAAAGGATTGTGATGTGACCATGACTATTGGGGCGTGCTTTCTCATTTTTTCTCTCTCTTTATGGTGGTTGTATATGCTCTCTGGCAAAAGTAAAAACAAAACTATTGTGCTAAGTTAAAGGAAGCAGATGTAAACTGTCAGACTAATGATTAAGAGAGCTGGATGCCATGTAGTCCATTGCAATTGGAGTCCTAGTTCTCAGGGCTTGAAAAGTACACCAGGCATATGTGCATACATTCCCCAAATCCTGACAAGATGAAAAATAAAGAATTGCAAAATAACCATGTCCCGTTAGGAGATGCTTTTTCCTTCGCCTCTTTCTCTCTGTTTCTCTCTGATAAGTGCACACATCCTCAAACAATAATTAAAGAAAACACCTATTATAGGATACCATTTATATAAAATATACATAATAGGTACATCCACAAAGATAGAAAAACAGATTTGTCATTACTATGGACTAGTAAGAAGAGAACAGAAAGCAACTGCTTAGTAAGTAGGGACTGTTTGTTTAGGGTGATGAAGACATTTTGTAACTAGAAGGGGATAATGATCGTGTAACATTGGGAATGAACTCAGTGCCACAAAATTTTTTACTTTCAAATGATTAATTTTATGTTATGTGACTTTTACCTTAAAAAAAATTTGAAATTAACATAGAGTTTTACTGGTCAAGAATAATGCAGAAAAATAGATCTAAATATGTATAAAGTTTACCTTATCATGTAATTGGCATTTAAAGCCAGCAAGGAAAGCATTATTGACTAATAGCTGTTGGAACAGATGTTTCTCTATTTTTTTTTTAAAAGCAAGCAATGGGGCCAGAAGGTGGCATACAAGTTAGGGTGCTGGACTGCCATGTGGCTGACCATAGGTTGAGTTCTGGACTTGAAAGCTTAAAAATCATACCAGGAATGTGTGCATGCCTGCCCAAAAACCCGGGAGGAAAATGGAAGAGAAGGGATTGCAGTGTGGCCATCCCTCCAGGGTGCGATTTCTCACTTTCTCTTTCGCTCTCACTGACTCTCTATTTTCTATTTCTCTCTGGCAAAGGTATGTGCCCTATGGTAAAAACCGTAAGAAAAAAAAAAAAAAAGCAAGCAAATAAGAAAAAACAAATATTCTGAAATGGAAATTAAAACTAAAGGAAGATAATGATGAAAATTTCTCTGATCACAATATAATTGCTATTTATCTTATGATAAAATAGACATTGTGGAATAAAGGGACAAACAATATTTAGCCATTATAAATATAAGTACTAGTAAAATATAACTAAAATAGTATTATTTAACTAAAGCATGAAGCAAAATTTTCTAGCTCTAGATTCACAAAAATTGAAATACCATTACACATTACATTCTGTTATCTCTGAAGAGATTAAATAAATGTGGGTTATTTTATATGATTTTATAATGTTGGTATATATACAGCTTTCTTAAATTAACTTGTAATGTTTTTAATAAAAAAAGTAATTTAATAAAAATTTAAAAAGGAAATTCCCTGCTTTGAGGTTGATATTGATTTTCTTATAAATTTGTTATGAGGCAAAATACCATTTTTAAAATTTAATGAAGGCTAGTTTAAGATTTTAGAACCATATCAGGGAAATACTGACAATGGGGAATATTTTGTTATTCAACATTAGAACTTTAGCTAATAAGATGCTTCAAAAGGAAATAACATTTTAATTTGGGCATTTTTCTAAAAGCTTATTAACTTTAAATCTAAAATGGATTATTATGCATTGTAATTTATATTGGTTTTCTGGATACTGCTAAACTGAAAGTAGGGAAATAGCTCATCCAAATTATTCTCAATAAACACCCCCCCTTTTTTAATAACAATACTATTCAAGAAAAATCAGTTTCTTAGAAAAAAATAGACCTTTAATATCTTCTTAAGAAATTTTTGGTCATTTGTAACAAATTAGAATTCCTATTAATTTGTCATCAAATGTAAATCTCATTATTTATTAGAATTCTGCTATATTAGTCTCCTATATGGGAAGAGTACCTTATATAGTAAGTTTCACCATAAACATCTAAAATTAAAGTAAGGGCATCACCTAACATGTGTTTTACCACCTTTCAATAGAGCTATCCTTTACAGCCATTGATTGCCTCTTTCCCATCATGCAGGAGCAGAACTTCTGCGAGAGACTTAAAGGAAGATTGGAGCATTGCTACACAAGTGAAGGAGAGCATGCCAGAAGGGAGAGGTAAAACTGTTTCTCACACTTTGATGAATGTAATGATCCTGAAAAAACTCATTGATGTATCATTGAATATATTTCTAATATGCTCAATAATCTTGTTTAAAAGTTTTATAATTTTTGTTTCTAATAGAAAAAATACCCTCAATAGGGGCCAGACAGAGAAAAAGGCAGGGAGAGATAGAAAGCCCCTCCCATGAAGAATGGTAACGTCACAATCCTTTCTCCTCCATTTCTATATCTAGTCAGGATTTGCGGCATGTATGCCCACACGCCCAGCATGTTTCCTAAAATGATGGATCTAGGAGTTAGACCACAGGACTGGTCATGAGGAATCTGTCTGCCTTACCAGGCCAGCCCTTATTGAACTACATTTAAATGTAAATGGTTACATGTGATACATGGCTATTATGCAAGAGTTATAGTTCTTGGGACCAGCAGATGGTGTAATGGCTACTTCGCTGGACTCACATGCAGTTGACCACAGTTTGAGACCTGGACCCGGTGACTTAAACCCAAGATCCTGAGAGGAGAATGGAGGAGAAGGAATTGCAATGTGACCATCCCCCTTGTGGGTGGATTTGTCATTTTCTATCTCTCTGTCTCTTTCTGTCTTTCTGGCGAGTGCATGCGCCCTACAGCAAAAACCTCTCCAAAACAAACAAACAAACAAACAAACAAAAAACGAGTTACAGTTCTAGCACATATATAAGTTGTAATAACACTGTTGTCATAATTTATAAAGTGTACTGTACTTTATATACTGGCATATTATTTCAACATATTTGAATGTATTTGTGGAATTGTTGGGTCATTGGAAAAGTCATGATGCATTTTTGCATAGAAAAATATGTCATGGTTTTTCTGATGACCCAGTATCTTAAACAATCTTTCCCTGCATCAAAAATTTTCTAAAAACAGTTAGTGAAGGATGATTAGTAACTTAGAACTTTATTAAGAAGCCAGAGTATTCTGTATTTCAAACTGTCACTCATAGTGAGGCTATGTTATTACGGTTTCCCTTTTCACTATTTGTGTCCACAGTGAAGATGAAAACCTCAATCATTACCAGGTTATCACATAACAAATACTGGGAGAAAAATGAGCATATTAATGGTCAAAATCACAGTTTAATTAATTGCGATCACTGTCATTCATTACCTATGGGAAGATTAATTTCAGGAGCCCCCCCTCAGATACCAAAATCCATGGATGCTCACGCTGATTATGAAAAATGGCATAAACTTGAATATAATCTATGCACATCGTCCTGTACACTTTAACTTATCTGTAAACTATTTGTAATACCCAGTGCAATGTAAATGCTGCATACATGTTATATATTGTATTATTTAAGGAACAATGACAAGAAAAGCTGAAGTCTGTACATGTTCACTTCAGACACAAGCAATATTTTTCCAAATATTTTTTGATTCATGGTTCATTTAATCCATGGATATAAAATTATACATGTGCATTTGGATCTAAAACACAAAGCATTAGTTGGATGAAGGAGATTAATTGTAACTGGTGTTAAAAAATGGCAGATAGGGACCTGCAGTTGGCGTAATGGCTATGTTGCTGGATTCCGGTGTAGCCAACCACAGTTTGAGTCCTAGACCTTGTGGCTTAAACTCATGCCAGGCGCATGTGCATGCATGCCCAATATCCTAAGAGGAGAATGGAGGAGAAGGGATTGCGGCGTGGCCATCCCCCCTGGGGGGTGATTTCTCGCATTCTGTCTCTCTGTCTTTCTGGCAAGTGCACGTGCCCTACAGCAAATACCTCTCCAAAAAAAAAAGAAAAGAAAGAAAGAAAAAGAAAAAAATGGAAAAAGAAAAGGCACATAGTTACTCACTTAATTGATGTGAAACAGTAAAACTTATTGAAATAATAGAAAAAATTTTGAGTGAGGTGTTAAGTATAATGAATTAGAGACACTTGAAGTATAAATACTTACAGTATTTATTTTAGAGTGCTACTAAAGGAATAGTATAAAATACAAAGTATGTTTTCATAAAAATAGATAAATAAATAAGCAGACAGGGCCACCCTGTGGTCGTGGTCAAGACAGCTGGGTAGCACAGCCAATTCCAAGGCTTGAGTGCTAGACCTGATGGCTTGAAAAATATACCAAACTCATATGCATATATTCTCAAAATCCCAAAAGAAGGAAGAAAAGGAAGAAAAGGGATTTCACTGTGATCTCACCCTATGGAGAGGATGCTTTTTTGCTTTCCTTTGCTTGCTTTCTTTCTCTCCATGAGCGCATATGTCCTCTGACAAATTAAAACCAAAATGAAAATGAAAACAGACAATTAACTATGTAAATGCCCAGAATGTGGTAGAACTAAAAAATATATATATCTTGAGAAGGAGAGTCACCCACAACAGGGTGTCATCATACTGCTATACCCCACTCCCCAGCTTTGACCAGTCAGGATTATGGATGTGCTCACATTGACTATGTTTCAAGTCAGCCAAGGATCCAAGGCCCTGGTTTTCCATGTGGCTTCAACATTGTAGAGTGTTGCCCTACTGCCTGTACCACCACAGGTGAACATAGAATGTAGATGTGGTAAAATCTGACAGAGGAAAAAAATGGATCCAAAGAGATCAAATAAATGACCAGTCCAGAAAAACATCATGTTTTTGTTTTAAAATAGAGAAACTTGGGAACCAGCAGTTAGCGTAATGGCTATGTCGCTGGACTCCCACGTAGTCAACTGCGGTTCGTGTCCTGGACCCGGTGGCTTAAAACTCACGCCGGGCGCGTGTGCGTGCGTGCCCAAGATCCCGAGAGGAGAATGGAGGAGAAGGGATCACGGCGTGACCATCCCCCCTGGGGGGTGATTTCTCGCTTTCTGTCTCTATGTCTCTCTCTGTCTGTCTGGCGAGCGCACGCACCCTACAGTGAAAATCTCTCCAAAAAAAAAAAAAATAGAGAAACTTGATTTTCAATATTTCTTGTGAGTCAGCATGCTTAATTTCTAACCCAGCAGGTTAGAACTAGTGACTATATGACTGCTGAGCTTGTATTTAAAACCATTATATTACCAAGTAGGTGATGCTCCAGCTAACAGAACGTCATTATTGTCCAAAAGCAAAACAAAAATGCAACTTACTTGTCACCACTTTTCCTGATCCAATTTTACTATTTTTGGTTCAACTCAGCTCTTTGGGGTCCTTGTCTTTCTGGACAGTTCATGTTTATGTATTCTTGTCATGTCATGTTTCAACAAATGTCACAGCTTATAGATATAAATCCCACAAGAATGGGACCCATATCTGTCTTCTTTATCTTCTTATTGCCAAGGAAGAGTATGTTACCTGAGACACAATAGTCTCTGGACACTTTCATAATTAGAATAATGAAGACCCATAGTAATAATTTGGTTAATATTAAGTCATGTCATTCCAGAGCTATGAATCAGGAATCACAAACATGTCTCATTAAAGGATTTAATTTGTATTATAACCGAATAAATAGAATTTGGAAATTCCAATGAATTCCCAATGAGGCTAAGTAGCGAAGTTGTTATCTCTTAAGGTTGAAGAATATAAACTATCTTATTACTAGGAACCATCTGAGAATTTTCAGTATTTACCTGATCTAATCATTGTTATTGTTTTCTTATAAAATAGAAGGAAACACAAACATGCTTTAAAACTAAAACTCTATAGTACAACACTTAACTAGGCCATGTGTTATTTTTCTTTTAGATAAAATCATATTTTGAAGTAATTGGTTGAGATTTAGCTATTCTGATTATCTTATAAAATATTCATTGAAAAATCTCTTTTCAAAGGTTATAATCAATGTTATCCTTGTATTATAATAAAACTGACTTTAAAAGGCTAATTCATTTTTCCAACATTCTCTTATTAAATATATAAATATTTAAAGGAATAATATAACTAAGACCCATGTTTCTATCATTTGACTTATAGGCAGATTCACTAACAAATATAAATACCTCTTCATATTTTAAGATGAAAAGTGTCCAGAGTTAAAGCAGGAAATGGAAACATTGCTATCAGAGGCCATCCATCTCGTTAAAAGTCTAGAAACTGACCGAGCAGAAGCTGAAGAGGCTTTAAAACGACAAAGATCAAGAAAGAAAAGGATTAGCCTGAAAATCGACGCTTGGTCAATCTGGAAACTTCAAGAACTCCCGTTAGCTGTACAGAAAGGTAATAATCAGGATTTTTCAAATTGCCTTTTACCTTTTTCAAGAGATATGAGTAAAAGCTCAATATAAAAACAGACAAACAAATAAAAAACCTCTTTGGTTGAGAGTGACCATATTGTTTCTCATACAAAACAGGGTGCTTTTAGACAATGCTATTAATGATGATGTTGAGTTCAAAGACATAAATTGGGATAGCACTAGCTCACTTGGACCTAGTATCATTTGGGTCTGTTGGAAATTCTATGGCATTAATGGTACCTAGAGGTTGAGCAAACATTTAGCACATATTCCTTATAATTACAGCATTCGAGTTAATAGAAATTTAGAAATTTAAAGTGATTGCCAGTTTGTGTCAATAGCCATATTTTTAAATATAGGAAAATGAAAGACTTCTATGTAATATTTTAGGAAACATAAAGGGACATCAAAAAGTTCATACAAAAATTGAATTAAAATGTGAATTTATTTTGGTACAAAACAAATTTGGAATCCATGCATTTTTTTTTTCATAGAATGGATTTTGCATGTTTTTTTTTTTTTTGAAGCTCCCTCCTACCTGTGTCTGCTTTTGAGAATTAAGCAGTAAATATGAGAGTAAAGAATGATATAATCTATGTTGAAGTGTCAATCTAAAGATAGTGGATTTTTAATTTTTTTTTTTTTGATTATCACTGTAGGGCGCGTGCGCTCGCCAGACAGACAGAGAGAGACATAGAGACAGAAAGCGAGAAATCACCCCCCAGGAGGGATGGTCACGCTGCAATCCCTTCTCCTCCATTCTCCTCTCGGGATCTTGGGCATGCACGCACACGTGAGTTTTAAAGCCACCGGGTCCGGGACACGAACCGCGGTCGACTACGTGGGAGTCCAGCGACATAGCCATTACGCTAACTGCTGGTTCCCTGGATTTTTAATTTATTTTTAAGACAGGGAATTGTCTTCTAGCTGGGTTCATAGGTACATGCCACTAACCTGGCTTTTTTAGACAAAATCTCACTATGTCGCCCAGACCAGACTTGAGCATGATCCTCTTGCCTCAGTCCCCCTGAGTTTTTAGGACCATAGGTACATGTGATCATGCTCAGTGTCTTAGGTTGGCAGATGATATAACCTCGACCTCACATATGGTTTCATGAGTGGCACACACAACATTTTAACAGTACACAACACTGTGCTAGGCCTAATTGTTTTGAATTTTGTTGTTGTTATTCTCTAAACACTAAAAAAAAGCAGCAGCCAAGAATATAATCAGAACTGAGCCCTCCATTCCCCTCAGTGTGGCTTTTACCCAGTGACTCCTTCCATGAACCTAGTTCACATAGCAACTCAATCAAGGACCCTGTCTTCCTGTGGGAGCCCTCCAACTTTGTAGGCCTATACTACTAACAGGTGCTGAGTCTGGCACATCTTGTAGTTTGAGAGCATGAGCGCCTCTCAATTCAAAGAACCTTTCAAACTTGGCTGACTCCCATCCATGATCAATACTGTGTCCAACACCCATTATAGTCACAGAATATGGATCCGCACCCACATAAAGGACCCTCAAGACACTGCAGACCAATATTCCATCCTGCCATTCACGGGTGATTGCTATCTATCCACTACCAGGGCTGACAGTTTCCGTAGAGACTGTTGGACAGCAACATTCTACTCTATTCCTGCTTACATACAAGTATCTCACTAGGGAATGCCCACCCCCAACAAAACTATACCATTAATACCACAAACATTCCAAATCTAGAATACTGAGACATGCTCAGACACTACTGACAGTGAATGCAACACAAGAATCTTCCAAACACTACACTATTACACCTAATGAAAACAACAACACCCCATCTAATCAACACAAAATTAAATAAAAAGAATTTTACACTAAGAAAGCTATCCAAAAATAAATAAATAAATAAATAAATAAATAAATAAAATCAGAAAAGGCAACTGCTCCCCAATGTATAAGTATCAATATAAGAACATAACAAACATGAAAAGGTAAGGAAACTTGACACCTTCAAGGAAACTCAATAAATCTCCAGTAATTAGATCATGAAGAGAAGGATTTTTTTTTTTCCTTTTTTTATTTGGAGAGGTTTTTGCTATAGGATACACACACTCACCAGAACACAGCGAGAGGCAGAGAGACAGAAAGCAAGAAATCACTCCCCAGTGGGGATAGCTATACCACTATCCCTCCTCCTCCATTCTCCTCTTGGGATCTCGGGCACGCATGCACACGCACACATACTCGACATGAGTTTAAGCCATCAGGTCCAGGACTCTAACCACGGTCGACTACATGGGAATTCCAGCGACATAGCCATTATGCCAACTACTGGTCCCTAGAAAAGGAATTTCTTAAAGTCTCTGTAAGGGAATTCAAAATAATGACTATGAAAAGACTCAGTGAGATATGAATTAAGAATTCAACAAAACCGGGAACCAGCAGTTAGCATAATGGCTATGTCACTGGACTCCCACGTAGTCAACCGTGGTTCGAGTCCTGGACCCGGTGGCTTAAATTCACACTGGGCGCGTGTGTGTGTGTGCCTAAGGCCCTGAGAGGAGAATGGAGGAGAAGGGATTGCGGTATGGCCATCCCCCCTGGGGGGTGATTTCTCGCTTTCTGTCTCTATGTCTCTCTCTGTCTGTCAGGCGAGCGTGCGTGCCCTATAGCAAAAACCTCTTCAAAAAGAAAAAGAATTCAACAAAACCAGGAAAACAAATTTTTTAAAGAATTACTTATTTAATTAATTTATTATTATTACATTCTTTTTTCATATGTATTTTACCAGAGAAAGACAGACAAGAGAGAGAGAGAGAGACTGAGAAAGCAAGCTGCCAGGTCTGGGACTTGAATTGTGGTCCAGCCCTGTGGGAAATCCAGTACCTTAAATAGCACACCACCTGCTGGCTCCCAGGAAAAAAAAAATTAGAAAAACAGGATGAGAAATTTAACAAAGATGGAAGTCATTAAAAACAAAACTAAACAGAAATTCTCAAGATGAAACACAATTAAATATATGAAATTAAAAATATAATGTGGTATTATCTGTTGAAGATAATTTTATTGTATTATCAACTGGACTAGGAAGAAATGTACACATGTTGGAATGTTTACTTTGTAAACTAAATAACATGATTGAATGTATAAAAGAACATGAAATTTTAAAATAAGTGCATTATGATTATAAAAGCAATGTGAAAGCTAAAAATGTAGAGAGTTACCTTAGAGACTCCGAATGAATAGTACTGTCCTTAATACCTTTGGTGAGTATATCTCAGTAGGGGCCATTCTCCTATCAATATGCTCTTCTGGCTAAATACATATTTAGTTGTTTTATCAAAATCTATATCATCAATATGCTATGTAGAAATTCTTCAAAGAAGTTATTCTAGTCTATTGAGGGTATACACACACGCATCCTGAATGGAGTAAATTGATGTTTAAAAATTTATCATAAATTTTATCTCAGTCTAAGTGGTACACATATATTTCTATGGGTATAAGATTGATTTAAATAATGGTTTCTAAAGGTTTACAAATGGTCTTTGTACACACAGATTGAAATTGTTCATATTTTTTAGAAGCAGCTTAGTAATACTCATTTGTAAAATTATTAACAAATGTATTTAATTAGTGAGATGCATTAGATATGGGAAATAAATAATAGGAGATTTTCAGATGTATTCACAATGATTTTTAGAGCACTATATAGCAATTGGGAAACTGGGAGATTTGACAGTTTTTCACTGTGGAAAATTTGAAGTATTGGTTCCCTTCCATTGAAAGATGAAACCAATTATTTCCAATTATAAATGATTTACTTTTAAGTATTTGGTTTTGAACTCTAAAACAATTAGCATGCATTCTTAAGAGAATTTCCCTTCATTTTATAAATACTTCTTCGAGTTTCTGACTTTCTAGACATTTGTTTATTCACAGTTAATGAAATAGATTTTAAAGTGTTTGAACAAGGACTGTAGTATGGAAATTTTAAAAGAAAATTGAACAGCTTATTTCTGATAATCCACTTATTAACATATGCAACATATCCTTGTCATGAAAAACTTTAAAAAAATAGCATTACTTAGGCTGTAAATGATACTGTGAAATAGCCATTTACAAATCAAGTTACAAATTCTTGGGTAGTAAAACTTGATTTGAATCTGCACTTTTTATTTGACAGTATAGATTTCATATACAGAAGCATCATTCTAATTATTATCACATAACATAAAGATAAGGTTGTAATTTTAAATTCATATTACTATAACAATAGAAAATATTTAGTTAAATTGTTTTAAGAACTAATTATGGTCAACAAATTTCATGAGAAATCGATTTTTTAATTCTCATTTAACTTCTTTCGCTATCACCTAAAAAATACTGTTATTTGATATAATGTTAGTGCCAATAAATATAAGTAAAGAAAGAAAAAGAAAAAAATATGTAATGAAGAGATTAAATAGCAGACTAAAACATGCAAAAATAAAGAATCACAAACCTGGAAAATAAGTCTTTTGAAATTATCCAGCAAGGTAAAAAAGAAATTGAAAAAAATAATTAAAAGAAAGACTGAAGACAGACCATGGAATTTATGGGAATATTATAATTAAAATGTCAAAGTTCAAAAACAGAAAAAAAATGGGAACCAGCAGTTAGCGTAATGGCTATGTCGCTGGACTCCCATGTAGTCGACCGTGGTTCGCATCCCGGACCCGGTGGCTTAAAACTCACGCTGGGCGCATGTGCGTGTGTGCCCAAGATCCCGAGAGGAGCATGGAGGAGAAGGGATTGCAGCATGACCATCCCTCCTGGGGGGTGATTTCTCGCTTTCTGTCTCTATGTCTCTCTTTGTCTGTCTGGCAAGCGCACGCGCCCTATAGTGAAAAAAATCTCTTCAAAAAAAGAAAAAAAAAAAAACAGAAAAAAAAATTAAAGAAGCAAGAGAAAAGCACCAAGTTACGTATAATGGAACTTCCTAAGACTACTAGCAGATT